GCAGGTAAAAGTCCAACACTGTAACTGTGTGAGACCTGTCTTCAGATATACATGACTCTGATTGTGCTTTACCCCTTTGCAGACACTGATAGATGTAGCAGTGATGGCAATAATCCAAGAAGTGTGCCTGGCTTTTGAAAGGCAGGAAGTGCTTGCAGTCCCTAACAGCATGTCTAAGACTTTCTGCCTTTCCTGCTCTTTCAAAGCACGTGAATCACATAACTGCTGGGAAATTGCACACTGGTAACTTTTGAGTCTGTTACTTGAGTGCTCTCATGCAGTGCTATCGAGTCTACCACAGTAGGATTGTTATGTTATCAGAAGTGTCATACAGCTTAAAATGTAATTAATCTGTATTGTAAGACATTCTGATTCAATATTTGAACTGTATAAAAGCTTGGTGAGAACACTTGGGAGCTCAATTATGGGATGTTCTAGTATTTTGAAGTGTAATATTTGTTTGATACAGGTATGTGACGAGCCTCACCCTCTGCTTGTGAAAGAAATGATACAACACTGCATAAATGCAAATATTGATGAAGCATACAAGGTGGGTTTTGTGTGTTCTGTGTGCAGACACACCTTTCCTCTGCAGAATGTCTGATTTGAAGAATTCAGTGTGCACTGCTTGCTCTTTATGAAAAGGGCAAAACCATGCATCCGAATTGCTGAGTGAAATCTCTTCTTTACAGGAGTTTGTTCAGATGAATAACCCATCAAGCAAAAAAAACCACCCAAAAACAACAACCCGAGCAGTAATGAAATCACTCACTAAACAGAATCAGTGTTAAATTATTTGATAAACAGCACGAGTAGTTCCACCAGTTGCACGTGCCTGCCTCAAAAATGAACGTGCTTGACTCAAAGGATCGGTTTTGCAGATAAATGTGGGATTGTTCTTGCCTGCACAGATCCTTGCCCACCTGTGGAGACTTGGATACTCTCCAGAAGACGTGATTGGCAACATCTTCCGTGTGTGTAAAACCTTTCAAATGCCAGAATATCTGAAGCTGGAATTTATCAAGGTTAGTATCAAACTGCTTACTTATGGGGTCTTTTTGTCTGTTACAGAAAGAGGATGGGATTTTTATCGCAGGGAAAGCTCAGAGTTTTCTGCCTGCTGTTTGTTAGTGTAAAAAAAACGTATTTGTTATTACTGTTTTCTTTCTTACCCTGCATTATTAGTTTGTGAATAAGAGCAGTCACTTGACATTCAAAGTCTAACACCACACAGAAGTGCCAGATGTCACTTCAGTGATCAACTTACAAAGAAAATGGCGAAACAAAAGTTCAATTAAGAAAAAATACCTTGTTCTAATTAGTCTACGTGTGAATGCAATAGTCCATAGCCACAAATGGTTTTCTTAAGTTCAAGCAAGTCTGAAGATGGTTTCTTAGGAGTGAGGGATATAGTGGAGCATCATCGGTCGGACCGTATGCAAACTGCAGGACAAAACAGAAGGTTTGGCATTGTTTTTCTCTCCAGGAAATTGGCTACACGCATATGAAGATAGCAGAAGGTGTGAACTCACTGCTACAAATGGCTGGACTGCTTGCCAGGCTGTGTCAGAAGACTGCAGCTCCTGCAGCAAGTTAGAAACCTGACTGAGCTGAAACGTGTGTTCTGGAAGGCAAAGGCCTGGTGTGTGAGGTCAGCAGCAGCTGTGTTTGTCCTGAATTCTGTCAGTCTGTTTTTGCTAAATCCCAGAACCAGGTTCTATCATCAAATTAACTTGCTTTTTTTTTTTTTTTTTTAATTTAGACAAATAAAGCTTTAAAATCTACTTTAACTCAAGCACTCTTGTACCTGTTGTGTGATTTGGGCAGAGGAGAGGGCTGACAGCTCAGGAGGGAGCAGCAATGACATCTATTACACTCAACAAAACTGCCTATGGCAACGATACCAAGACTTAACAGCAGGAGAGACAAAATTTTAATCCCTTTGTTAATGATTACACCTCCTGACTAATCATGAGAGGTGGCCTCACTGAAGCCAAGAAGGAAAAGTTTTTGCACAGAAGGAGACCTTAATGAGGTTACAATTAAGGCATGTTGTGCAGGCGCCGTTCTGGGTGCTATTTTTGTGTGATGGTAAGGAAGATATTTCACCAAACAAGTAAAAAACAGTACACATTTCTTAATGCTGATTGTTTAGGACTTGTTTAGGATTAATTATTTAGGATTGACAGCTAATTATTACAGATACTACATCTATAATATTTAAAAAACATGTAAGTTCAGAGGTGCTCTGCATTTGCATTCCATTCTCTTTTCTCCATTGTCCAGATTAAGTAATGTCATTTTACTGTAGTTTCAATAAAAAAAGCTACAGCATCATGGTTTCCTCTCTGCCTGGTTTTGGAAACCACCTTGCGAGCTCAGAGGAGCAATAAAGTGTGAAATGCAGAGTGAAAACAAATATAAATTTAATGTGACCACCTCTATATCTGGTGTCAGATATGCATCTCTAAGCAGAGCTGTCTTGAAGTACCTAAATACATTCTGGTTATAGCAGTGGAACAAAGCACGGTAGAGGTACAACTCTCTGGTACCTGCCCTTCACTCCACCCCTCCTGTTGAAGATTACCACCCCCAGCATCCCGTTGCCCACACCATGTTGTTTCAGTGCCAAGCTGATCTTTACTTGCAGTATCAGCCCAGAGGCTGGCCCTTGTGCTGAAGCCACAGCTGGTTACACCCTTCATTTCTCTGATTCAGCCCCAGGGGCGATGAGTTTTAGCAGCAAAGACGTAGCATTCTAAATTGCACCCTCAAGACTTTCTGCAGCTCCTCTGGCAGAGCTCTAAGACAAAGGAAATCAAGATGATTGTCAGTTAAAGCACAGACACTTCGGAGTTGGCTCCTGAATGGAATAAGGGAAACAGTTCTTATGGATACAACACTCACAAGTACATTCTCCTTTCACTAGGTATTAATCAAACTGTGGTAAGTTTGATTTGCTGACAGTGATTTGTCACTGCTAGCACAAATACTGTTAAATATGTGACTTACAGTGTTGTATTACAGACACAGCATCACAGCTTTTGTCCACAAGAGCTTAAATAAAGCACGTTATTTAGACAGTAGGCTAATATTCCCTTGTCTAAGCAGTTTGCTCTGGTGGTGCCAGCACAGGAGTGACAAACTCAGAGGATCACAGGTGCTGTTTCTGTCTGGTGAGCAGCTTTCTTTTCAGCACATTCGCTCGGTGCCTTTCAGCTCCACTTTGGAGCCAGTTCACTTACAAATTAATACTCCACAGCACTGGGGGGATTTAGTTATACTCACCTACACTTAGAAGAGGAACGGTGTCAGAGAGGCCATCAGCCTCTTGTGCCAAATCTGATTGCTCCCTGTGAGTGCAGAGCTGCTGCTTTCTGGTAGCTAGGTAAAGCTTCCCAGCTCCATTAGCCATAGTGGCTGGGCCAAAACTACATTTCTAATGTGTCTTCTAACATTGAAACCAGGAAGAAAATGGCTCACTTGGCTGTCTCCCTGATGTGAGGAAAAAGAGCTATGTGTACCCAAGGGAGATGTCAGCGCCCTTTGAATTACTGTCAGGCAACACAACGATCTGACAGTTTGGGTTTAGCACCAGAAATCCTTACATACCTGAAAATGAGTTCTGAAAGAACAGTTAATCAGTGAACACGTGTGTGTACTCACCTGCTGCTAAGAGAAAGCTCACGTTTCAGAATGAGACTAAAAACATCGACGAAGTTTCCCTCAGCAGTGCCTGGATATCTTCCAGCACAATGAGATCACTGGCTGAAAAGCACTTCAGGAGCTTTACAACCCTAAGGAAGGATTTGCTGCTCTCTGCAGCTGGCTGCTCTGGAGATTGGAAGGAGGGCAATTTGCTCGGACTCCCACAAAGGTGAGGGAATGTGCACCAAATCTATTGCTCTGCCTGCTGACACTCGGCAGCTTTCAGATTCTGGCAATGAAGGAACCTCATTGCAGGAAAATGTAATTCCTCTAATCCCCCTCCCTGCTTAGCAAGGCGAGCAGTAAATCTTGCATTTTAATCTTTTGGCAGCACACTCACCTATTGGATAGAACATCCCAGGAGGTCTTTGAATCTACCACTGCATGCCAAGAATCTTTTAACTGCTGCTAATCACACCCCAGGCATTTAATGTCTCCCTCTGGGAATGAGATGAACCACAAGTGGGTGCAGCATCCTGGCACATCACTGAGAACGCAGCTCACCCTTTTCCTCTAGCAGATCCTGAACAATCTGTGGTCTGCAGCAATTGGTGAAACGTGAGAGCTTCTTCAGAGAAGACACCAGCAATGGCAATTTCATGGGCCAGGTGCTCTGTTTCAGTAGCAAAGGCATCTCCTCATTTCCTTGGCTGTCCATGAGCCTGTGCGGAGCCAGCATGTCTGCTCCATGAGGCTGTGTCCCCTACTTGTGCAGTTTCAGCATTTAAACATCAGAAACCAGAGCATGAGCAAAAGCTGAAGGGAAGGGTTGGGGCAGGCAGAAAGGCAGGCTGCTATAGCTGCACAGGCACATCGTGCAATGCATCCTCTGTCCCTAGAGTCCCGTGGGAGCAGGAATGCATGCATTTGTAGCAGCTACAAGTACTTTTCCCAAGCCAAACACCAAACCACCTGCTGCTGCAGCTACACAAAGAGTGGCCCCACACTCACAGCAATTCTGCTGAAAATAGAGCTGAGCACGAACAGCAGGAAGCACCTGACATCCTCTTCTCCCACTCCAGGGCTCTCACCCTTACCTCCACTTCTCTGCACATTCTGACCAGCCCCAGAGATGTGTGCTGTGGGCTGTGTCCCTTCTTGAAGCGCAGTTCTGAGACGGTTCTGAGGAATAAGGCTGCATGGAGCGATGTTTTCTCCCAGCAGGATCCCACACATCACCCTGGGTCACTTCTACACATGCTACCAAGTCAGCCTGTGTCACTCCATCACAGAAACAGCACCCACATTGCAGCAAACCACTATAGAAAAACCTGGATTTTCTTTAATGGCTTTTCAATTTTAATAAATAAGTGCTAAGATGGTGCCAGATCAGTGCACGAGGGCCCAAGAGGTTACACTTCAGGACTGATGTTCCAAATCTCAAACAGTGCTGCAGTTGGTGAGGCTGACAGCAGTGGATCAAACCTCATCAGTCGTTGCAGCGTCTTTGTATCGTTATAAAGCAGATAAGGAAAGACAAGGAGAACTGCCACAGACACTGTGAATTACAAGCTGCAGATGAGGGCTTAATCCTCTTTAGTCCTTAGCTTTTGTAACAGTCTGGTATCTCATTGAGCTCCAGAGAAGCACTGCTGCTGTAAAAGCAACCTCTGCCTTGCCAGTTCCTCTCCTGTAGGAAACAGCTTCTGGAGGAGAGCGTAGGAACTAAATCAAAACCTAATCCCTGCCTTTGAATACCGCCGTGCATGAGTCAGCCTGACAAATTAAGTAGTTGGCTGCACTGCAGCTCGGCAATTTAAAGAATCATTTCACGCTTGGCAGGAGACAGCATTGCACAGAGCAGCCGTGCTCCCTCCAGCACGCAGGCCTGGAAGGGAGACGGGACCAGGAGTTCACAGCATGTCCATGGGTGCTGCTGCTGGGCAGGCTTTGCTGCTGGGCAGAAATTCTTCCGGTCGCATCCTTGCTGTTGGATGTCAGGGCTTCAAGCAAAGCATCTCTTCTTTTCAATGACACTTGTGTGATCTCAGGCACAATTTGGGGAAAAGATGTGACTGAGAGATGGAAAACGCCTCTTTCCCGATGTACGTGCTGGCTGGGTGGGCTTGTGCAGCTCGGCAAAGGGCTTCTTCAGACTTCATGCAGAACACTTGAAATCAGAGGGGGAAACAGTGAGTCTTGTAGCTCCTGCAAACAGCAGGGAGATAAGCAAAAAGCAGGCAGAACATGCTGCAATTAGCACAGAAAAGTAATCCCTGACATTTCTCATGGAAGAGAAGTGGATGCAGGGTTGCTCATAGAAGTGAGTGCTGCAGCCCTCTGCATTTTATTTCAAGGATGACCTGGCCTCCCTCCCTCCAGATGCTGCTCAAAGTTGTAACAAGTGCTGCTATGAGGAGAGTGGGGTGACTGTGCTTTGGATGCTGGGGGCAAACCTGAAATGCTCTGTATGGCTTCAGAAAGATCCCATCAAGGAGCCTGCCCACCACTGGTCAGTGGTGAGCAGCAGGACCTGCTCAGTTTGTGCAGGTAAATCCCAGAGGCTGGAGCTGCACAGGGACAATCCCACTGGCTCCTGCAGGCTTTCAGGGAGCAAAACCATGAGGGGAGTGGAACTGATCCCATTCCCTCTCCCAGCCAGGCTCTGGTTGGAGCAGGATGACCAGCATGAGTTACATACATACATACACCACAGATGTATGACTGAGCACAGCGTGGTCTTCCTGTAGCTCTTTGCAGGTGCTTTAACTTTTGGCTGTCTGCTCAGTATCGGCAGCCAGCAGCTTGCTGCTGAGAGCAGAGCAAAGCATGCAGCAGGAGCAGGGCTCCAGGGGTCCCCTGCTGAGCTCTGCCTCCGTGCTGCAAACCAGAGGGGTTTGGGGCTCTGCCTGCAGTGCGTGGCTCGGAGTTGATCTGAAGTAGTTCTGGGCTACTGCAAGTTCCCCAAGGAGAAAACACAATCCTTGCCTTCCTGCTCCCATTACCTTCACTTTGACAGCAGGACGGCATCTATTGTTGGGTCTGTGTTAACGTAGTCTGGCTCCTCATCCTTGCTCTCTGCATGCAGCATGGCTAACAGGGATGGAAAGCAGCCATCAGCAATGGGGACGGTCTTAAAACACTCCCACCTTACACACTGTGTGACCTGTCACAGCAAATTCACAGATACGTCACCAGCAGTGAGCTGGGCTCTAGAGAGTGCACGGGTGGGATAGCAGCCATCACCGCAGCAACACCCAATGCAGAGATATGCACACTGCCCTGGATACTTATTGTGGATAAAAACATCTTGAGATGCGGTGATGCCTGCATGGCCCTGAGCACAGTGCAGCACAGCAGCACCCTGCCCACCATGAGCAGCTGCTGAGGACAAACCTTCTGCTTGATGCACCTTCCAGACTTCTATTGCTGCGCTGTTCTCGTAGTCTTCTGCATCATCTGCAAGTAAGAAGAGTTTGGATGGGTGATGCTGAACAGTAAATGAGATAAAATTGGGCCTTTGAGGCTAAACCTCATTAAGGCTCACTACAAAACATGACAGCACCACACTTACCCAGCTCAGAGCTGCAAGGATCACTAATGACGACGTTCTGGTAGGAATGTGAGTCCTCATCTTTGGCAGAGAGAAAAGGGGAATGAGGATATGTGAATGACCCAGGGGAGCCTTGGCACCTGCAGGGCTTTGTGCTTTTGGCAGCTGCCTGCAGGTAAGGCTGTTTGTCCTTTGCATGCTGTGCTGGCTGCTGGAGAAGGGAGGGCACTGAAGACCTTACCCTTGGGTGGGGAGAAGAACCTGTTGTGGCTGTAGTAATCCAGTGGGATAGGCTCCCTATGGAAGGAAAGCTGTGCTCAGCCTCTGCCACCCAAATGCACCCTGCCTGAGGGAGAGCAGCAGGCTGGGGCAGCAGCTGCATGGCCTCCAGACCCCACAGAGCATCACCCACAGAGGTGATAAGGGCCAACAGTGCCACAGCCCTATGTGGGGTGACACAGGAGCTGTCTCGGTGACAAAGGAGATGGAAAGTGCACCTAGAGCACTTACACGTAGGCAGCATCCCCATGTAGGCAGTCCTCTGCAAACATAAAGGGATTCCCATTAACACACCACACTGCAGCACCAACCCCCAAACACCCCAGTTCTCCTGAGCATAGGCACAGTGGCCAACCCTGCAGGCAGCAAGACCCAAAGCCAGCAAGGCAGCACTAAGCGGGGCTGGGAGCCCTAGCAGACCAGGACAAGCCCTGCAAAACAGCAGGGAGATTGGGAATTATCCCCTATTTTGAGAAGCAGAGTGCAGTTCTGTGCAGCAATAACTCTCGCTGGGCTGGTGCCAAGCTCCAGGAGGGAGCCAGGGGCTGCTGCAAGCATTCTGTCCCCCCTCCTTGGCTGCTCAGCAAAGCCTAAATACAGCAAGTCAGAGCTTGAAAGGCCAGCTCCCATCACAGGGCCATCACAGGGCCATCACGAGCCACCCAGAGCTGCCCACACAGCACATACCTGTCAGGAAGTTCTGGTAGCGGGGCTCAGCACTGCTCTCTGGGACAAAGCACAGGCATGTTAGAGGGCTACAAGGCAGCACAGAGATGGGGAATGGCTGGGGTGGGCTGTAGGTTGCCCACTCCTATTGCTCTAAGTTAGACTGGTGAGCTGCAGCAAAGCAGCCTGCATGTAACGCTCAGGATCCCATCAGCTGTCCCTGTGCAGACCACCACAAGCCCCATACACGGCTGCCAACAACCTTTGCACCACCCAACTTTTTTTTACAGCACAGCTCAGGGTGTGGGCACTGAGCCCTTGTTTTCCCCCCCAAACAGTGGGAGCTCCCAGCTACTGGAAGAGTTGCAACACCCGCATGTTTTGCAAATAGATTTTGCAACATCACTACGCACGGATCTGCAGCCGCTGATGCTCACCAAAGCCAACGTGACAGGAGGTGCTGAGCTCCTCGGGGGCTTTCCTGAAAGAAAGAGCTTCCTTTGTGGCTGGGGCTTGAAGGAAAAGAGAGCTAAAACCTCAGCTCTGACCAAGCATCAGGAAAAGCTCTGCCTGATGGCAACGGGAAACACAGAGCAATGCGAGTGGATGAGTTTGGGGTGGGGATGGCCATGAAGCAGTTATCAGTGCAGGGTGTTTTTTTGAGCGTGGTGACGGGGAGCGGGGGATTTCTCAGGTTAAGCAAAGTGGGTGCTTCTATAGCTAGGATGTGCCCCATGCTTTCCACCTACCTCGCCAAGTTTTTGGGTTCCTTGATCCGTTCTGGCCTTTGGGTCACAGCTAGCAGCAAGAACAAAACGAGAGCAGTGAGCACAGAGCATCCAGCACTGTGGGCTCCCCAGCATTGCAAAACATCTTCCAAACTATTCCTCAAATGCAGGGCCAGAGCGGGAAACGAGCAGTGAGAAACACACTGTGTGTACGTCAGAGGAATCCACAATCCTAATTGCTGCCTTATTTCCTCTTTTCCCCCAAATTCACTCAGTCTGGCAGTCTCTGGCACACTCAGCACCAATTGCAAGGTGCACTGCTGGGTTGCAAGCTTGGCTCAGCTCAAAACAAAGACTTTTGGGGGCTGTTTTGGGCAGGGCAGGGCAGCCTTGGCAGCTGGGGATGGTGACATTTGCTGCAGACCCCAACAGCACACTGGCCAGGGCAGAAATCAAAAGGTCAGTGTGCAGCAAGCAGGAAGCAGAGAGAGGTGATGGCGGATGAGTCACTGCATCACCCACAGCCCCGCTCCCACAGCATGAGCAGAAGCCTTCCAGAGCCCACACTCACTCTCCCATTGCTTTAGTTGTGTTGCTTTAGTGACTCGTTCACAAAGAAAGCATGGATTTTGGTGGGAGCAGCCCAGAGGGATCAGAGGTGCCTTCTATGTGGCTTTGGGACCACCCCTCCCCACAGGGTCCTACTCACCAGAGTAGGACCGAATCACCTCAAATTGCTGCGGGCGTTCCAGCCTGGAAGAAACAGAGGCACCACATCAGCTGAATTTGGGCACATAACATGGAAACCAGAGTGAGGGCTGCAGATGGCCCCAGAGGGACCCTGAGGATGCTCTTCCTCACGGCCTCCCTTTGGGTCTCCTCCTGGCCTCCGTGGTCGAGGTGTGCTTGTGGCCCAGGGGCAGAGGGATGGGCTCAGGGTGACAAACCCTGCCGTGACACTTTGTGCACCAAAACATCACATCCACGCAGGACAAAGCGAGTGCTCTGCCATGGTGAGGCCTCACACACTGCCCGTGGCACCGCGAGCCCTGTGCTGGGCGACCTGACCTCCTTCATACCACGCTTGCTCCTTGATCAAGGGTTAAAAGCACTTTGTCGTTGCTGTTCATAATATCATTTAAGCTGTGGTTTGTCTGTTAGCGAAGGAAATAAGGGGGTGTGCATGTGTATGGTGGTGTTTCCTTCACTGCTCGTGCTGCAGCTGCAGGGCTCTGCCGCGTGGCCCCACCAGCACTGGGCATTGCTTTGCTCATGGAGCACACGGGATGAGGCAGGGTTGTGCCCTCTCTGCTTTTCCAGACCTTTTTCCAGTGAGTTACTGACTCACGGGCCTCGTGGTCACTGCTTCATTTGGGGTTATTCCTTGTGATGGTGTTCCCCTTTATCAGGATGCATCGCCTCGCGCACTGCCAGCAGCACAGCTGGGGTGCAGATGTGTATTTATAAGTGCATTCTGTATATCCTATCATATAGATACATCATAGTGGTACATATATATATATATGCTATTATTTGACATTATGTCTGTCCTGGCTGAGGCACGCACCAGGTCCAGCTTCTGACTTCTGTCTCCCAGACAGATTTTGGGGCAAAGCACAACAGCAAAGGGAACTTACTGACTCCTCTGGTTGCTGTCCTTTCCTCGCTTTGTAGCTGAAAGAAAAGAGAGGAAAAAAAAAAAGCTTGATGCAAAAGCGTGATACAGGCATCCGAGACAAGAAAGGGAAGAACAAACTTCTAGTGGGGCCACCAGCCCCATCCTGCGGCTTCTCAGCCACCATAGAATTGTTTGAGTTGGAAGGTGCCCCCAAAGGCCATCTGATCCCACTGCCTGCAGTGCACAGGGACCCCCACAGCCCCATCAGTGCTCACAGCCCCCCAAGCCTGACCCTGGGGGTGTACAGGGATGGGCACTACCAACTCTCTGGGCAGCTTGCACAGTCCTCGCACCACCCTTACTGGAAGCAACTTCTTCATTATACTCAGTCTAGATCTCCCCTCTTTTAGCCTGAAACCATTCCCCCTTGTTAAATCACACCAAACCCTACTAAAGATTCTCCTCCTTTCCCCTCCTTTCTTACAGCCCTTTAGATACTGAAAGGCTGCTCTCAGCCCACCCCAGAGCCTCCTCTCCTCCAGCAGCACACCCTGCACAGAGGGAACACCTCTGGAGGAAAGCAGCCACCCGTTGCAACCCAGGGTCCCCGTGCCCATGGCAGAGCCTTACCATAGAGCTGGCACCTGACGCAGGCACTCACAGCCACCCCAAGCAGCATCAGCGCAGCGGCTGCCCACAGCAGCTCTGGCTGTGCCATGGCCTGGCCTCATCCAGCCTGGAACACAGTGGTGAAAACTGCTGTCATTTCCACCCGAAACCAGCCCTGCCCTCCTTTCAATGCCGTACACAAACAGCAGTGACCGTATTTTTTGTTCAGTAATCAGCAAGGCAAAAAAAGCAACCCAAATGTGTATCTGTATTTCCGATAGAAACAGCAGCTGGACTCTGCCCTGCTTTGCACCTTCTCCCTTCACTCATATACAGCAATAAATAACGTTCCCCTGCCCAAGCTGCCAGCCACAGCCATGCACCCTGGCATCACACAGACCCCAGCCCGAGCACTGGGAGCCTTGTGGCCCCACAGCAGCACTGATGGCCGGGGCGCACCGTGCTGCTGTGCTGCTGCTGCTCCGGTAAAAGCAGTTTGGGAGGTGTTTTGGTTTTGGGGGTTGTTCGTTTTCAGCTGTGCAAAGCTGAAAGATGTGGACAGCACTGACCTACTTTGTGCCGCTGTAGGGCATCTCCCTTCCAGATGTGGCTTTATTCCTACAGTCAGGAACAGCAAAAAGGGGTATTTCCCAAATCCCTCGCTGTAATCTGTGTCTGGTGGAGCATCATGCCTCTGCTCCCCACCATAAGCACCACACCAGCCTGATGTACACTAAATGCAAGGCAATTAAAATCTTTTTTTTTGTTTGTTACAAAACCTCCTCTCATAAGATACAAGATCTCATTTCTGCTGTACCAAAAACACTTAGTGAACCTCATGAGGTTTGCTGTCATTTCAAAGGCCTAACGGTGCCACGTTTTGCAGCAAGCACTTCAGCATTTGGGTAAAGCAGCTTTAATTCCCCCCCAAAAATCCACATCCCTTAAAAATGTAACTAAAAAAATAATGAAAATGTGACCCAGATGGGGAAAGCCACACGGTGCAGGTACCCAGCACATGGATGGCAGGGTAAAGGAAACTCACATCTGTGTCAGAAAGGAACTGATGGGAGGCAATGGAGTCCTTTACGACAAGCAGGAGGCACTTATCCACTGCTGCTGGGATAGAAATAAAACATCGGGAAGGCTGAACACACTTTCCTTGGTCTCTGCAGCCCTAAATGAAGGGTTTCACCCAGAGGAGAGTCACCCAGCAGCCGGGCTGTCTGCACCAGCCATGGAGGGAGACCTGGGGTCAGCATGGGGATCGGAGCTCCCACATTTTTAGTTGCCGAAGCAGACAGCACACAGACAGCATCCATCTGCCAGGATGCCCTGGAAGGCAAAAGTATTCCCTCCCTTCCTGAAAGTTAGTTTTGTGGCCTGCGATTCGCAACAAATGGAGGCTCATTCAGGTTGATTGGGTGAGTCACTGATGCAAAACTCAAAGAAGAGGAGAGCTAATTTAAAAAGCTTGCTGTATGAAAGGTAGCACATGGGCTTGGTGAACAGATGCAATATGCCGCTTGACTCAGTCTCTAGCATTTCTAAGAAAAGAAACACAGCTTTCTGTCTGCCTCCGTTGCACAGATTTCCAACAGAAGCCGTTTAGAAATGGAAATCTCCGGCCAAAGGGAGCTCCTGTGGTGGGGAGCACAGCAGTGACAGTGCTGAGCCTTCAGACAAGCTCTGAAGAGGCCCCATCTCCTGCCAGGTTTGACGCCCGCTTAACCTATCTCAGGAAAGCTGCTGTGGTATAGATACAGTCTGCTTCTGTGCAGCTATTCAAGCAGAACGTGCTTTGTTTTACACCAGAAGACGCAGCTCAGTAGAACATGGGACAAAAGGGACAACTGGAATCCACACATGAACTCCCAGAGATGAGCATTTTGGACAATTCGGTTGCACAAACGTCTCAGCTGGAAAACAGAGCACAAAATCCTGATCACAACACGAGGATGTATTCCATGCAAATACCCTGTAACTGCTCCCAGCTTCCCTTGTCTTGGGCAGCACTGAAGCCACGCGCTGCTCTTCCCCATGGGGGGATGCCAGAATAGGAACTTAGGATATAAGCAACTTGTATGCAGGTAGGTACTCCTGTGTCATAAGTAACCTCATCTACTCCAAAGCTCCAATGAGCTCCAATGAACATGAGCCAATACTACACAAGATTATCCCATAATTATCCCCAGTTTTGCTGCCTGTAGCACCCTGAACATCGATCACAGGAGAAAATCAATGCAAAGACACGGCTCTTCTTTCTCACTCAGATCCGTGACCTCAAACACAGTAAAGTAAGAAGCTCACACGTTCATAAGAAGTCATTAAGTCCCGAACCAGAAGGAAAACCCAATGGGAGCAGCCAACGATGGGGTTTTGGAATGGAAACTATAGCAGTCCCAGAGCCAAAAGCGGGGGTGAGGGCAGCTCAGCACAGAAGGAACCCAAAATACCTCGATTTATGAGAAGAAAATGCAGAAAGAGCGTAATTAAAAATAATAATAAAAAAAAGCCGTGCTGCCACGGGGAGATGGGGTCAGGAGATACTGAAAATAACGCTGTAGGACAGACAAGCCAGCTTGCAGTCTCAGCTTTGCTTCCAGAGGGGTCTCAGTGCTGCTGAGGGGGCGCATTTGGTAATTTCCATACCTTGAAGCTCAGCAGACGATGGATGTGAGCAGCAGCAGCAGAGCAGCATCCAGCACGGAGCTCTTCGGGAAGAGTTTGCAGGGATGACCTCGAACCCTCATCAAAGCAGCCACCCAGATCCAGTCTGGGATCTGTGAGCTCACCGCCACGGGGAGGGGGAAAACCGGCCCGTCCCCAGGCCTGTGCAGGACCCCACGCAGCGCTCAGCCCGGCCCACCTTACCACAGCTGGCCGGCCCCTTCTGTCCCATCTCCTCGTGTGGGTGCTGGAGGTGGCTCCTCCGGGGATCGTTAGCCAGCTGCTGGTTTCCTGCCCCCATCTGAATCATTAACCCCAACATCCGCCGGTCAGCCCCGCTCCGGTTCGCATGAGCTCAGCTCCCGCAGAAGCAGAAGTGGTTCGTTTTTATGGGCTGCAGGCAGAGGAAGAGGCTCCGATAGCAAAGATTGCGCAGCAACAGCCATGCAAAGAGCCATCGAAGGCCACGTTGGGCTGATGCCCCCCACACGTCCCACGCCAGCAAAGCAAAGCGCTTTGGGATCGCTGCTGTTGTGCTGGATGTCAATGGGAGCAGGAGGGAGGCAGAGCCTCAGAAAGGGCAGCGAGGAGATGGAAATGAGAGCCAACCAAGAGCCACTGCCATCCAACGCTGTAGGAACAAACCCATGTGTATTGCACAGGGCAGTGTGCAAACAGCTGGCACTATTCTGTAGCACTCCTACAGAAACAAAAGCCAACCTGAAGCAGTAGCTTGTGATCTTTTACTTCCGTTTTTTTTTTTTTTCCACTTGAAACTAATAAGGAGGGCTTATGAATGAGATTCATAGATAACTCTGCTGGCTCCAAGCCCTGTCTCAGCACAGGAGATGTGTATCCTGCTCTAAGAATAGGACACACAGCAGCCCCGTTATTTATAGCCACCAGAGAGCAACAGCCAGCACAGCACACGTCCTACAACTGCTAACAGAACAGAGCAGCTGCACCAGGCCCTCCACACACACAAATGATTCAGTACAGGGAAATGTTGTTGTACTGAGGTTAGCTGGCATGATGCTGCAACCTGTGAGCTGCATCCAGCTCGCTCCTACCCGGATGGTAACTCTTCTATCATGAGAATGATAAAATAATCATCTGTTTTGTAAATCATCCGTATCTGCACGTCTGGGATGGGAAACTTTGTTATCAGGCTTTCAGAGGAAACCTTGCCTTGTCAAGATAGCTGGCTGCTGCACCAGTCTGCGCAGTGATGTTTGCACTTCATTCTGATTCACGACAGAGGTGCAAAAATAATTGCGTGCGCCATCCAGAACAGCTCCCAGAAGAAATCCAGGCGTGGAGAGCTCTCCAGAACCAGCACCGAAGCAGAGAGCAGGAGAGCAAGGCCCAGCCTTGGATCATCTGTTCGGCTTACGGCTGTGCAAGGGGTGCGATGTGATGGGAACTGCGCTTCTGCCTGCCAGTGCAGCTGCCACACAGCGGGCATTTCCAGCAGAGCCCTCCGCTATGAGGCAGCTTACGAGGTGTTTGCAAGCAGCTTTTTCTCTGTTTGAACATAAGCTGACAATAAGCATAAAAAAAACCATTGCTTATAGCAGAAACATTGCTCTGAACATGCTGGAGGCGATTACAGTTCCTCCTTTGCAGATCAGAAGTTTTATTAGGAACAGTCGATGCTAAAAACATCCTGTTTACCCACTTACCGCCCCCTGACCTGTCTCACTTCAGAGCTGACTGCCTCACTGTGGACATCCCCAAATTACCACTGGCTGCAGCAAAGGCCTGTGTTAGGCATGGAATGACTTCTCAGCTGCAGTAGAGCAGATGGAAGCTGCCCCGTGCCCAAAGAGCAGCACTAAGGACAGCAAAGCAACCATTCAAAGCAGCAGCGTCATCCCAGCCTCATTACGCCAGCCTGAGCAGAGGGATGCCCTCCAAAGACATCAGTCCTTTTGCAGTGCTGCTCTCATGCCCATTTCTATGCCCTTCCTGACCTAACACAACCAGCCAGCTTCCATTCCCTTCATCCACTGCAATGAACTACATGAAATACCACACTACAGCTCCATCTTTCTCTGACCTTTTCCAAGGCTTAACCATTTCAGCTTCCCTCTTTCTGTTGTGAGCAAACACTTACTTTCAGTCCACTTCACCAACTCAACCAAACCCTCTTCTTTCTTTTCCTTTTTCATACGTAGCTCATCAGCTATAGAAAGATCCTGGGCCCCAGAGGCTTTTAGCCTCCCCAGCTTACCATTCTATTGCCCTCAGGGCAGCTGCCAGCAGCTCCAATGAAGGCGGGCTCTGATCACAGACAAGACTGCATCTGCTTCAGCTGATGACTAATACTGAATGGGGAAAGAATGATTGGAAAACAATGCATGGTCCAAACTTCATTCTGCAGAAACGCCCTGTGCTGCAAATTCTGAGCAAAGTTCTCTCAAAGCTCAATTTTGCGAGCAGAGCTACCAACGTGGTGAGGATCAGCACTGAAACGAAATCCGCCTCGCAGGAGGAAGCTCTGGGACCTGAGCAGGCGTGAGCCTCATTCCAACCATGAGTTCAGCCACATTTTCATGGCCGCTTTAACGAAAGCCACAACTCGGTGGAAGTTTTCCGTCCTGCTAAAGCAGCGCGAGCACATTTTTGTGAAGGACAAGAAACAGCTTTCCTCTGAGCTGCGATCGTAGGAGCGTTTCCTTTGCTAAAGGGGAAGTGCCGCCTCCCACCGCGCCCCAGCTGCACGCCCCACTGCAAATCCGATCTCACCGCGCTGAAAGCGAAAGCAGCTCTTGGACAGCCACAGATACGTGCTGCTACCACCCAGTGGAAAGGAAGCTCACAGCTCTGAGCTCCAGCTCGACAAAAACCTGCCCAAGTAACGTTTGCAAAGGCTGACTCTCCATAACCCTGCGGTGCTATAAAGCTTCTGCCCATTCTTATCCTGCTCGGTTCATCCACGGAGACAAAATAATTCTGCTAGTTGAACACAAAACCTAGAAGGTTTGAATGCTTTTATTGGAGTTTTGTACAGCAATACAAATTGTACAGATTCGTTACAGTACAGGTTTTGCAGGGGTTCATAGAGGTACTCAGTCATTTTTTTTTATTTTTATTTTTTTTTTTGGTTCGTTTAAAAGGAAGAGGCAAATTTTGGGAGCACGGTGACAAAACAAAACGGTCTCATAGTGGGAAGGAAATCCCTGCCACGATGAACACTGACCTGGTTGAAACCTACTGGGCAGCAAGGTGGCAACCAGCAATGTTCCCAGCAATGACACCAACCTTGGGGAGTGCAGGAACTCACAGGTAAGCAGCATTTCTGTAAGGGTGCTGGAGGTCCTTAAAGCCCTTGGGCACACTTTGCTGCAAAAGGGACAGAAACGAGGGAAGCTGAAGGAAGTTAAAATCAGTCTGCAAGGAGCAGGCAAAGCCACAGAGTCACTCAGCTATGGGAAAAGCTATGGAACAGGAAACCCTAAAATGCTTTTGATTGAGTAACCTGAACAGCTACAGTAACACGAGGACTGTGATGTACGACCTAATAACAGTGCCACTGTGACACTGTGTGCGGCCACAGCCTGATCTCCATTCCTTGTGTCCATCTGAGTTTTGCACAGAAGAGAGCAGACGCCAGCAGGGCTCCTGCACAGCTCCTGAAGAGCAGAAAAGCTGCAAGCTGCACACGTGGAGCTTTGGAAGGACATTTCTCCAGCTGGCCCAGAACATCATCAGGATATTGCTATTACTAATGTGCACCAGGCTTGAGAGTCACTACAGGATTAAACCATTTCAGAAAGCAAAGTCAATGAATATGGTTACACTGCTTTAAATGGCCGTGTTTAGCTTGCTTTAATATCACTAGAGCAAACAGTATCACAAAACAAACAGAAAAAACTGCAGAATATATAAACGTAAAATGCATGTACCCACTAAAAGATGGCCCTCTGCTACTTCAAATACACTTGGTTCCTTGCAATCGTGTAGTGGGATAAGTGGCAGACACAAGGCAGACACAAGGAGGGATTCTACCAGGTTAGAACGCTCCAGTCTCAGCTGGAAATCAAACCCCTCTCCAGCCCCAGAAATTCCTTTGTGTAAAAATATGAGACAGCCATCACCTACAAAACTGCAAAATCCCACAAATCCAATCCAAGGGACGCCTGAGCACTGCAGTGCTGACTGACCTGCGCCACAACACGTCAGGATGCCAACTAACAGCCTGTCCTCCAGAGCCCTGGGATGAAGGCTTACCGACCTGCTCCTGCTGAAAGCATCCGAGCAACCATGAGATGCACTTCCACACACAAAGGAGTGCTGCAAGGTTAGAAGATCAGCCACCTACACCTGGCTTCAAAGTGCACTGCTTGCAGCAGGCAGACACTCCAGGTGAATGGAGACAGGCCTGGAGGAGTCGCTGCAAAGAGCTCCTGTTGAAAGCAGACAGTGGGACAAGAGAAGCTGTGAAATTTACTGTGCTCTGATGGTTGTATTTCAAGATTTACCAGCTTGATTACTTTTTTTTTTTTTTTTTTTTTTTTTTTTTTACAGAAAGATGTAATAGGATTTGCTGTAAGATTTTCAAGATCTTATTTCTCTTCAGACAAAGTCAGCAGCTCTCACTACAGGCAGCGATGCTCCCAGCAGGCTACGTGCTGCAGTTGGTACTGAAACTACAACAGAACTCACAGGACAGGTTGTAAAGACACCAGCACTACTCAAAATGGCCCCAGGACTGCAAGTCTTGGCTGTAACTCTCAACCACAGCTGCAGTGCACCTAACAGAACTTCAGTGTCAGCACAGCAGGCTCCTCAGTCACACCAGCAGATCGGCAGCACTTCACACACAACAGTCAGCCCTGAGGCACAAGGCTGGAGCTGCCTTTTGCTGCTGGGAGTCACCTCCTTTCCTCCTACAAAACAACCAACCCTATGGAAATAAAAGCCTTTTCAACTGTCCAAATAAGGTAGAACCCAAAGGAAACCAGGCAACGCAAATTTGTGTCTGAAGTACTGAAAATAGACTATTTTGGGATTGGGCTGCTTTCACTAGTAGAAAACTACTGAGTGAAAGGTCAGCAGGTAGAGAAACTTGAAGGAGATGAGCTTTTTTTTCCTCCCCTTACAAATCAGTGTTACTTCAACTAAAAAAAACAGAACAACCATGCAGAGTAATGAAATTATTGCCACCACAGTTATGTTTGCAAGACCAACTACGAGCAAGCCTTGTGGAAGCAGCTG